CATGTTTGAAGGTGCAAAACTTAGATCCTGGCACGTTGGTGGAGCCATCCGCCCTTGTCTTGCGAACAGTGACCCCCTCACTGGACAAACCCAAGCGTTTCTTGTCATAGGCAGTGAGGGGTCGGTACAGTTGTCCAAGCCAGTCCCTCAGATCACGTACAGGTCATATACAAAACTGTGCCAGCTCTAGCAAATCACAATCTTAGGCGAGGACGGAGTGCCTATAAGCATAGTCAATTTGGGGGAGAAGGCACCATAGAACGCCATCCAACTCAGCAGGATCCAGGGGCACAGGGAAAGGAGCAAATACTAGGGGCTCAAAGTGCTTGGACTAAGTGCCTGGCAATCTTTGGATGTTGATGCTCACATGGGGCTTCAGGACTTTCATGAGGAAGGTCAGGTAAGGAAACCAAACAAATGTAGACGAGCTCGGCTGTTCTATGGTCCAAAAGCAAGATCTCATTGTAGCCAGTAAACAGAGTATAAGTAGTCTGCATCCAAGCCTGGGCCAGGATGTTGTGGTGATGACTTAGGTCCCCACCCACAAATCGCAACCCCCCTTTTTCTTTTCTATGGGTTTTCGGGGTTTTGGAACCCACCCAATTATTTTTATTTTCGCATCAAATGGGGGGCATGTGTAATTTACAATGTATTTGATGGCGGCCCCTCTTGAGATCCTTATTGCCTGACAAGAAGCTTGTTGCTGGCACGAACGTAAGCTCGCTTGGAAGAGCCTAGTGGCCGTTGCCGGCTCCTTTTGGATGTTGCCCGGTTCAAGTAAATGAAAGAGTGGCAGGGCAACCCTGCCGTAAGCAAGGCCCCTTCCTGTAACCTCAATGTGTTCCGCACTGCTCGTTCGAATCCAATCCTGGGTGCGAAAGGCAAGCCATACATAGTTCATGCCCGGTGCAATCAGACCAAGGGTGGAACAATGATCCAAGATCATCAGATTCTCTTTCTTCGATTTCACAGAACTCCCTCGGAGTCACACCAAACCAACTTTTTAACACGGCCATGTTGTTTGCCAAACTGACTGTAAGACCCCGGCGCCATGTGTCCAGCATCTCCTGTTACAATCACAGGTTCGATTTAGCTTTTCAAGGGTTGAGTGAGGTTGAAGCCGAATGCTTTCTCTATACTGCGCTTTCCAGCGAACATGTCATAGTTGCTAAGGTCCTCAGGGAAAAGGCACACACTCTACTGATACAGTAATCGGGTTTGGGCAAGAAGGTGCGCATACTGAACCTTGAGGCTAGAACGCGTTCAATGCCTTGGCTGTTCTGCGCTATGAAATCGCAGTAGTGGATCCTGGCCACAAGTTGGGGACGGCACATTGCAAAGAAGCTAACCGACACTCATGAGCTCGCATAAACATGAGAAGGGCACAGCAGTAAAGGGAACCCCACGCGAATCAAAGCCTTGACCGAGCATTGGGTCAATGCCAGGGGCGAATACATCCAGCCAGCACGCTTGCCCATGGTCAGGCAAACGCCCTGGTTCAAACTTGCCAGCTCCAAACCCCAAAACGCTTGAGCAAGAGGCCAAGGTCAAGGACAAGGCCCTCACTTTGCAACCCAAGTGATTTGCAGAACGCTCAGGCGCTAGCAACGTGCATAGACGACTCTTTGTAGGCTTCTCGGCAATCCAAAACCACAAGCCCCCAGAGAGCCTGTTGCCCTGCAAAAAATATGGAACTGACTTAAATCTTGGTCCATCCTGCGATTTGAGTAGCCGCTGTCCACCTCATGCATTTGCGCAGAATTACTACGAACTGAAAGCGCTGCTAGGCCCACGGCGCTGCTGCGATGTCCTCGAACTTCGACCAGCCCAGGGTCGCGGCGCCAAGCTTGTTCGTCTGCAGGCGGACTCTTATTTATTACGCAATCGACTCTTATTTATTACATGTAGTGGTTTTGTTGGGGCCCACACCTCAAAACTGGAGTCCTTCTGCGTGTTGTACTTTGTCAGCAGCGGTTCTTGCACCGCTGATATGAAAAAAGCGTTGCCCACCAGCCTTGCAAGATTCGAATTTGCGTAATATTCCACAGTGAGTGTGTGGGACCGCACGTACACAAACACACGAAGGCTTCTGAGCTTCAGGCAAAATCCCAATGGTAGATTTGCAGTCAGCTGGCCCTTGAACAGTCCAGGACCTTCAGGTTGCGCACGCGCCACAAACGGTGTTTTCAATGCGTTGTTTTGAGTTGGGGGCTTTAAGTAGTGCTCAGCCCTCGGCTTGAGGTTGCCCACCAGTGCATCTTCAGGAATCTTTAGGAAATCGCTTTTCTCTGCAATGGGAGCCAGCTTCTTAGCCATTTCCGCAAGCTTGCTGGAGTCTGCAGAAGCTCGAGGCTGAGGGACGTCCTAACAGGTTCCAGACCCAAAGGGGGCTAAGGCACTTTGGGGCCATTTTCGATAAACAAAAAATCCCCTGATGTCCTTGTGTGGCTTCTTAGAAGTGTCCTGATCATCTTGTTTATTCGGTTTCCTCTTTGGTGCCCTTGCTAGCTCTTTGTCACCAGTTGCTGCGGCTGGCTTTCGCATGCTAGCAGCTGTAGGCGGCGCTTGTTTGTTCGCAGCTCTTTTCGACCCATCGGTAGCTTTGCGCTGTCCCCCACGCTTGTTTGTTTTGTTTCTTTTTCCCCTGCCTGTTCCCCTGCCTCTTCCCCTGCTTCTCCCCCTGCCTCTTCCCCTTCCTGTTCCCCTTCCTCTTCCCCTTCCTCTTCCCCTTCCTCGGCTCCTGCCCTTGCCAGAGGGGGAGGAGACTTCTGAGCTTTCCTCGCCTTTCTCTTCTGCATCCTTTGCTGCTTTTCGCAGAACTTTTTGAGCCTCGACAGTCAGGCTATATACATGACATTTTTGGGTCTGGATTGGCCCAGGCCTGCAGCAGGTCTTCGTTGTCCTCTGCCTTGGAGGCCAGGAGCTCAAACGCACTCCGGGCAGCTTCGGGAAGCACAGGCGCTTTCTGAAGAAGAGGTTCTCGGTCCTGGCCGAAAGAGGATATGGGGAATAATTCTTCGAGGGTGACCATGGCAGTTTTCAACACAAGAATCAATTGCAACACAGGCACCTTGAAGGTTCCTTTCACCTTGCCCTTCACTGGAGTTTCGTCAAATGACTCTTTTTCAGCGCTTCCTTTCGGGTTCTTCACTTCGTTCTTCTCGGGTTCGGGATGAGTAGCAGTACTGGGCACTTCAACCAAAGGGTCTTCTTCGGTTTTTTCCTCTTCAGCTTCCTCACAACCTGTCTCCTCAGGCCCTTGCAACTGGTCGCCGTCAACTTCTCCGTCGATATCTTCCTCAGGCGCGGGTTGGAAAGGTGGATTTCTGGAGTGCACATCCACGGCGGCAACATTTGACTTGTTCCACCCCTTCAAGAATTATAGCCTTGCAACTCTGAGGCTGGGGCCTTGCACTTTTTTGAGGAAACCTGATCGCCGCCTTGTGCAGATAGAAAGGCCTGCGCGCGGCAATGTGTTTTCGAATGAGGTGTTCGGTTGAAAGCAAGGGCCTCTTTTGCTTGGAGGGCGGCAGCCTTGAGCTGGTTCATCCGCTCATGGCCCTTCCTGCAGCTGCTCAGTGTGGAAGTCACATGGGTTAAAGGGCTCACGTGAAAACAGTCTCCTGGCGCCCTGTGGATTCCTGGAGGTTCTTCGACAAACAAAGCTGCCAAATGCCCGATGAAGAGCTGCCTCTTTGTCGAGCCATGCCTAAGAACCCCAGGGCATCGAAGAAACAAAAATGGCAATATGGGCTCGGGCTTCCAATTTATCCTGGTTTTGGAAGTCATTCAAACGGAACTTCTCTGAGCAGTACCGCAAAGCTTCCTGCCAGGGCAATCCCTGCAATTGCATTTTTTTCGGGAACATGCTCTTGCCTTGTGGGCTTTCGGGCTTGGGATCTGGCCGGCAAACGTTGCCACGTAGCTGAGGGTGAAGTCAAAGTTGTTGAATGTGCCAGTGACCTGGCAGGACACGGACGCTAAGTACAGTTTTGTTGAGGGGCCCCGGCCTGATCCTCACCAATCTGGGTCTCTTTTCGCTGGATATCCAGGAATGCAAAACCCTGCAGGGGAGGGCCCAATGTGCGCCCCTCAAGCCCGTCACAGAAAAGATCCCTGGCCTTTGTGTCTTTTTTCTCTTTCAGTTTATTGAGGCGTTGACGTATATAGTCAGGCTGCAGCACATCTGTGTAGAATGCCTGCCAACAGGCAAACCCTTAAAGTGTGTTTGGTGGCCAGCTGATTGGAGCCAGCCTTCAGCAGCTCGACATGCTCTGGCCGAGGTTTGCTCTCCGGCATTGACGCGCGCTGCAGCTGCAGCAGCAACAAACTGATGGATGTGGAGGGGTGGGGCAAAATTGTACGTCCATCCCCATGCAAATAAATATGGTGTGAAACCCCGGTTAAAGATGAAACAATTTCAACTCTTTCCTGACCAAAAAAACTCGAGCCTGGTGGCTACAGAAACCATAAAGGTGATCTGCAAAATGACCACGCTCACAGTCACGGGGGCGGAAAGGTTGGGCGCACCTGTAGGAATAGCATCAGGCTCTGTGTCCGCTTCAGAAGACAGGCCTCAAAAGCAGGAAACTGTCACACGCACATTCGTGTTTAACAAATGATGGGTAATACTGAGGATGCAGCATCTGAGAATTCGCTTCGCTCGCCGCATACCATGGCAGGCTTGTTTCGGCCAGCGGCGCGCGCTCACTCAAATTTAAACCTCTTTTTATTCATGGGGACCCTCAACGATATGCTCAAAAACCTTGAAAAGACTGCTTCGCACTCATGACATGCCTTCTCCCTGCTCGGCTCGGTCCAAGTGTGCACGGGACACATGATGACATGCATGATAATATCCCAGAAAAGTGGTTTATAGCCCCATTTCGTAAAAAGGCCTAGTTTAACTGGTCCTTTATGAAAGGCCTAGTGAAACTAGGCCTTGGAAGCCCTGGGTATGTACAATACAATTGGAACCCCGACGAAAGCCCCAGAGATGCCTTGATACAGATCTCCGGCAAGTAGTGGGGGTTCGCCATCTTCGTGGTCACAAAGAACCGGAAGTCGTCGTGGTACGGCCTAATGTTCGCCCCGGATGAATAAACCCCTTGTTGATTCATAGGGAGGTCCCCTGTTAGTGGGGATTCATCCCTTTTGGAGGGAACACCCTCCTTAATCCTGGGTCAACATTAAAAGAAACGCCCACCGGCGTGCAGCACACGCCGGGGAACAAAAACAAGTCTAATCCTGCCATTGCAGCCACGGGCCACAGCCATGTGCGACTGGACACGGAAAATCTACAAGCATTCCGTACTTCTCAAAAAAGGCGGAACACGCGGAACCCAAGCAAACACACTTTGCCTCTAGGTGAGCTCGGGGATTCCGCTTGTTTAAGATAGTTTCCGCCAGTCGCAGCCAAAATATGCGGTTCCCGCAAAGGTCACCAACTAGCAAGTTCCCCTGGTTCTGGTGCGTCCAGTGAGTTGCCGCGTGCTGCTCATACATCACACCCCACGGGTACTTGCTCTGGCGTCTTTCTCACGCTAAAGCCACGGACCCAAAAAGCATCTGTGTAAACTGTCAAACAGGGACTTCCGCCTTTCTGGGCTGAGTTGCCAAAACAATTAGGCGGGCAGCTCGCCGAACACACCGCAAGCACACTAAAGCCGGTAACCTGATTGCTTTCTTTTGACAAAGAGGTTCATCTGAAAGGGAACCGAACCCAAAGCAAAGCGAAACAACTGGCAGGGCTCCATACATTTCCCACTGCAACATCACCAAGAGGACAACATCAAACAGTGGCCATTAATCGGGCTGAACAGGAAAATATAGGCATGGATCTTATCCAGGAGCCCTTTGGTGCACACCACTTAAAATTTACATAGGGATTTGTGTGGACACATGTGGACACTTTCGAGGAGCCGCAAAGGGTCATGACCCCTCCAATGCAGAATCGAGGGCCTCCAAAACAACCATTTGGAGGACCCCAAAAAACAGTCGGAACCCTTAGGGGGTGATGAACACTTCCAGCCAATACAACCAAAAGCGTCTGGGAGCCGAGCACGTCTTCGCTGCCAAGGCGGAGAAGCATCTGACCGCCCTTTTTGAAGACCTGGCGTTGACAACAACGACGTCGACCCTAAAACCGGTGAGGTCGGCGAATGGCTTCAGCACGGGTAGTTGGGCTGGTAAAGACTTCCGGATATCCACATCGATTCTCCCATTGTTAGATTGTGCCTGCAAGTTGTCACCTGCTGGGGGAAGGCAAAACGTGAAAACGGCTTCCGCGAAGTGGACCCCATCCAAATATTGGGCTCCCAGTAAGTCCCGGATGGTAAAGTCAGAAAAGGGGAGAAGGTGACGAATGGGACAGGTAACCAGGCAATTTTCTTGCTGCCTCAGGGCTCCCTAATTACAGTCCCCCTTCCGAAGGACATTCACTCCAAAATTTGGCCCAACAAGGGATGTGTTTTACGACCAACACGATATATAACCTATGGGAACCCTGCAAGTCTTAATACACGTGGTTCAACTTTTTCTAAGATGGGCTGGGCTTTTCCAGCAAAACAAGGCGGGCAAGGTCACGGCACCAAACCCAACTGGTGACCTACCCCTAATGTTTGCTCCCTTGAACATTTGGCAACGATTGCACCTATGCCGCACATACACCTAGAACAGCTTTCAGTTTTAATGGTTGTCCAATTCCACACTTAGAACAAAAGGAAAGGACACAGTACCACACTTGGAACAGCAGCTGCTATCATCAACAGCTGGGTGTTCTGAGTGTGAACAGGTGCAGGACGCTGTGCGTTTCACACATTGGTTGTCAGTGTTAGATGTGGTCTAGGTGGTCCTTAGTACGGAAAAGTGGGCTGTTCTAAATGTGGAAAAGCTGTTTTTAGCGTTCTATTTGTTCAAAGGGGTGCTCAAAGTGTGGGTGGTGCAACATCACATTTAGAACAAACCGTGACAACTGAATTCGAACTCCAGTTTCCAAATGGTGTTCTAAGGGTGAGTCCGGCACTATATTCCTGATGTGTGTGTGTGTGCTTCTGAAAATAGTCGGCCCCTGAAAAACCCAATTCCTTTTGGATACTTTCAGCACCAACCAAAAGCGGCTCACCATTTTGACACTCACCCCTGTGGTATTTGTTCTCTTGAACAGTAAGCAACTTGGAGAGAAGGCTGGGTTTCCCTGAACATTAACACAGCACGTGTTCTTGTGAGTTTGCTAACCCAACAGGCTTGTCCCGTCCCAACTAGTCAGGGCCCTGAATTCATGGGCTACAGAAACGCTCTTCCGCGAATGTGCGGGGAACCCGGCAGGGTCTTCAATGGCTACCTGATCGAGTAGATTGGCCAAACGGAGTGCCAGCTACTAAAACAAAAGAAGACCACACTTCAAAAAAAAGTGAGGGTTGATCAAAAGGTCCTTTACATGGGATGACCATTGGGGATTCCCACTAAGAAGATGATATGTCCCACTAAATGGGAAAAGTTACCCATGGTCATTTGGGGCCAAGAATATTGACCAACCCCCATTTCGAGCCCAGGAACTCTTGAATAAGAGTCGACTCGGAACTCGAGTCCGGCGTGGTGCTTCGGCCTGTTTCAGCAAGACCGGCTCCAGGGAAGGGTCTAAGACCTCCTCCACATTCTCCAACAACACCGCGCTCCCTGCACAAAGATAGACAAACCAATCGTTCCCTACCAAGACTTCCCTTGACGCCTGTCACATGGTTTAACTCACCTTCGGTAGAGCGTTTGTTTGCCAATTTTGCAGTTGGGGGTGCTGGTATCTGCTCTTTCCTGGAAGAACCATTCCACAAGCTCCCTATGGATCCCAGATACCAGCACAAGGGTTGAACAAAAACGGCTTCTGCAAAAGGAGAAGCCCGTACTCTTGGCTTTGAACTTTAAGAGTCGGAATCTCCAAAGTGGTGAACATGAATCGCCAAAGTCTGATGTCAGGACCCACTCAAATTCACCAAGTGAGCCCATTGGTTTCTCGAAATAGGTCCCTTAAGAACCGAGCAACGGGTTCCTTTTCATAGGCCCTTCCAAGACTAGCCAAAAGGGGGCGTTCCGAATCCCTGGCTTGGGCCGACCGGCTCGGAGACACCCTGGAAGCTGAAACCTAGGGTCGGTAAACCAAAAGCTAAACTTTTGGACGCCGGGAAAATCACGAAAAGGAACGCGAGGGATGAAGGCCGGGGTCCAGGCCTCAACGAAACCTTAGATTGGGCGGGTGGCTCATCATTCCCAAGCCGGAAATAAGGTGTCTTGCAAAGCCAATGGCAAAGCTGGACGGGGTTTCCATTTGAAGGAACAACCACAGTTGCAACCAGGGGCCAGGTAGAAAAAGAGTAAACTGAAACTATCCAACAAGGGTCTAGCTGTCTATCTTTTGTCAGAAGATACTCACTGGCTCAAAATGGTCAACTGAGTACTTGGACCCCATCTGGATCGCCCATAGACCTGCTTCTGGCTTCCAAACAAAACAGAAAACCAGACCCAATGGTGATGAATTCTAATAGGGGATCCTCTGGTGGACAGACTTTGGTGGGGATTCAGCCAACCACCAACCACTTTTGAGGTGGTCCCAACTCTCAACATTCATGGCCAATATAGCCAATTGCGCAACATGTTGGGTACATCGGGGGGTTTGCCCGGACTTTCAACACTGCCGGGTGGGGGGGGGGGTGGTGCTCACAAACATCCTCCCTGGCAATCACCTGTCGTGTCGTTGGGGGTGGGGTGGGGTGGGGGGTGGGGGGTGGGGATGGAGGCACACTTTGTTGCCTCCTGCTGCTTCATTTTTTCTCAGCTCTCGGCTTCTGCTTCTTTGGCTGACCCATCTGGAGACAGCCATGACGAGTCAACATACGCCGCCTTTGGCGGAAGCCCGGACTGAACAGTGCCGGGTTGGGGGGGCGGGGTGGGGTGGGATGGGGGGTGGTGGCACGCATCCTGCGTTTTGGTTATCACCCTGGATCTGTTTCTCAACGAGAACCTGATGACCTGGTGGTTGACAGTCCGGAAACCCCTGGGGAATACAGTGTATGAGTATGTGCTGAGAGCGAGCGCAGCGAGGTCTTTTTCTATGGCGAGTCTGAACTCTATGGTAGAAAACGGAGCCAACATGTATACGCGATACAAACTGATTGCCTAAAGGTCAATGGTCTGCAAAACACAGAAGATGGGGGGCAGGGATGGTGGTTACGGCCCAACTGAAACCACTCGATCACTCGATGACTTGCAATACGCGTGCCAAGGTTCTTCCGGTCCGGGCAAACCCCCCGATTTAGCCAACATGTTGCTTGACCGCCCTTTGTGCGAAAGTTCAGGGATTCCTTCGCGAGAGGCGAGCTACACTTTGAGTCCCAGAAATATGGGCTTGTCGCACAACAGGGCCTGAACAATCAAAAACATGATCGGTGTGCTCTTACTTTCCCTTGGAATCAACCCAAAACCACCCTCAGCAAATGCGCAGCCTAGAAGACTTTCCTGGGTGCCATACGGCACCAGCATTGAGGATACTTCTCCCCACTACACTTCGACCCAGTCGGCGGCTTAATGGGAGCGGCATCCGCTGCAACCGGGACCTTTCCGGATGTTTTTTCCTTGGAACCTGAATCCTCACCGGGAGCTGCAACTGGGACCACTTCAGAGATCTGGCAGACCCTGACCCAGAAGGCTGTCAGCTGCTGGGAAAACAAAATCTACATATTGCCTCAAGCCCTATAATTACACAATCTTTGGAATTCGGAAGTTGTCCTGGGGTACAAATTGGGATGGGCAGCTGCTGTCACGAGAAGGGGCTCTAAAAGGAGCCAGACATCCAAAAACCCGGTGTTTCCCACCCCAACACCGCTGCAATTAGGAGGACACTCATCCAAACAGACAAACCGCACTACTTGCATGAACAAAAGATGTCCTTTCGGAGTCATTCACCCAAAGGACATCTGTACAAATGCCCCTTGCCCCTACGTTGTTTGTGTCTGTCGCAAACTGTTGAACCCTTCAAACTAGGTGGTTCCTTTCAACCAAACAAGGCACCCTCCACAAAACTGACTAAGCCCAAACCCCTAAACAAATCAGACTTCAACTTCGTCCTTTGCCTTGAGTTTCGTGTTCCCAACGCTGAAACCAGTTGCTTGCGGCGACACATCAAGGCACATCCCTTCACCACGGTCGAGGCCTTCCCGAATGCAGTTCTCCACGGTGCGGAGGAAGTTGGGGGTGCTAAGCTTGATGATGCCCAGCCCGTCCTAAAGATCCAAGGGCAGGGCAGGAAGCGATCAGTTGGCCATGGGTCAAAACCCCGCACCCCCAGTGAACATCCCAATCCCCACTAACATAGACTAAAACGAGTGGTGCACCTATTCCAAAATTCAGTTCATTGAAGAAGCTTCCACATTGGTTCGGAAAAAAATGAAGGGAAACAAGCTTGCCAAACTGCTTTCCTAAGTGCACGGCTGCCAAATGCGGTGGGAAGCGGCTATTTTCGGAGCATTTGACAGTCCTTCGGGGGGAAGGGGGGGGCTGGTAAAATTGTGAAATTTAACCACGCACCAACTAATCAAAAGGGAATGGTACAGTATGCGGTGTTTTCTTCGGCCCCCTATAGTTTTAAGTGTTTGTTTCTACGCGGCAAATGGGTTTGGCGCTCGCTTTCGCAGCTCGGACGGTTCTGGCGAGCTTCCAGGCAGGCTTTGCAAAAACAGCATGTGGGATTCTTGGAAAAAACAACCTCAAAAAGCTAATTAATGTACTCTCAAAAAACACAAACCTATTCCAAAAAGGTGTCCTTGTTGTTGATGCCCTCTTCGCGCCTTGGAGGTCTGCTACAACCCATGAGAGATAGATACCCAGGAGGGAAGCGGCCCGTTCCGACCCGGTGCCCCGCGAGCAGATGTTTACAGACCGACACCTCAAGGCACCAAACCTGAATGGGGCGTCCCCAGACCAAGCAAGCCGTTCACCTTTACAAGGGTTCATCTCAGATGCCCAGTAAATTTCAAGGGGGAAAAAAGGACGTGCTTTTCTGGTTGGTTGACTTGGGGGAACTGACCTCCCCAAACAAAAATCGAAAAAGGAAAGCCCACTGGGCAGCTGGGCAGCTGGACACTTTGTGGGACAAGCTGGGCACACCGTCAAGAGTAGTCCGCGACTTTACCCGGGGGGGCGGGGGGGAAGGGCTTGCATTGCTCATAAAACGTCCTAACTGGGGCGGTCATCCAAAATCCAGGTAGTGTTTTCTTTGTGGAGCGATGGCTCGCATCCGGTACTGAAAAACTACTTTCTGATCCTGCGCCAGATTTAGCCCACACTAAAATATAACATGCTTTTGGAGGGACACCAGTAAAAAACTCAAATTGCACCCTGGCAACTCGGGAAGGCCCGGTTCAACTGGTGGGTCAGAATATGGCACGCTGTTATCGAGATTGCTTCTGAGTACAAACGAACCACAACGCAACAAACTAAACAGGCCAGCCATAGGTTGTCTTTACCACAAACGAACACGCTGAAGAAACTAGACCACGGTTGGCCCGAAAGCATAACATCGCAAGCGAGGTCGTCCCAACGCTGCAGGATGCGTTCTTTTTCCCTCCACGAAGCATTTGTGAAGCAAGCGCGGGACAGCACCAGGCAAGGTGCTCTGCGCAAACTGGTCGGTGCAAGTTGGTCTGCGCAAGTTGCTCTACGCAAGTTGCACTGTGCAAGTTGCTCTGCGCAAGTTGCTCCGCGCAAGTTGCTCCGGCAAGTTGGCCCCTGCAAGTGGCTCCCTGCAAGTTGCTCTGTGCAAATTGCGCTCCCTGCAAGTTGCTCTGTGCAAGCTGCTCTGTGCAAGTTGCTCTGTGCAAGTTGCTCTGCGTAAGTTGCTCTGCGCAAGTTGCTCTAGGCAAGGCGCTTTGCGCACACTGGTCGGTGCAAGTTGGTCTGCGCAAGTTGCTCTGTGCAACTTGCTCTGCGCAAGTTGCTCTGCGCAAGTTGCTCCGCGCAAGTTGCACTGTGCAAGTTGCTCTGCGCAAGTTGCTCCGCGCAAGTTGCTCCGGCAAGTTGGCCCCTGCAAGTGGCTCCCTGCAAGTTGCTCTGTGCAAATTGTGCTCCCTGCAAGTTGCTCTGTGCAAGCTGCTCTGTGCAAGTTGCTCTGTGCAAGTTGCTCTGCGTAAGTTGCTCTGCGCAAGTTGCTCTAGGCAAGGCGCTTTGCGCACACTGGTCGGTGCAAGTTGGTCTGCGCAAGTTGCTCTGTGCAACTTGCTCTGCGCAAGTTGCTCTGCGCAAGTTGCTTTAAAATGCAAGTTGCATCTTGCGACGCCCGCCCGCGGACCAGGGAGGAATCGAACCCGCGACCCGCCGGTTCCGGGAGCAGGCGCGCGAACCACGAGACAACTCCCGAGGACCAGCTCCAACAACAACAAACCTTGAGCTTTTGCACCTCGACCACGCCGATTCCCGCAGAGGGTTGCGCGAGCACCGCAGAAATCGCAAAAAACCTCGAGTTTTTGCACCTCGACCACGCCGATCCCCGCAGAGGGTCGCGCGAGCACCGCAGAAATCGCAAAAAACCATGGGTTTTTGCACCTCGACCACGCCGATCCCCGCAGAGGGTCGCGCGGGCACTTTAGAAATCGCAAAAAACCATGGGTTTTTGCACCTCGACCACGCCGATCCCCGCAGAGGGTCGCGCGGGCACTTTAGAAATCGCAAAAAACCATGGGTTTTTGCACCTCGACCACGCCGATCCCCGCAGAGGGTCGCGCGAGCATCGCAAAAAACCATGGGTTTTTGCACCTCGACCACGCCGATCCCCGCAGAGGGTCGGTTTTCGTGTAGTGTCGTCGGCACTACCCCGCCGCCCTAAGAAGAGATTTTAACTCCTCGCAAGTCAGTTGCACTTGGCTCCTTGCACTTGCAACTTGCACTTGACTCCTTGCAATTGCAACTTGCACTTGACTCCATGCACTTGCAACACTCCTTGCACTTGCAACTTGACTCCTTGCACTTGCTTCTCCTTGCAATGACTCCTTGCAATGACTCCTTGCAATGACTCCTTGCAATGACTCCAATTGCAATGACTCCTTGCAATGACTCCTTGCAATGACTCCTTGCAATGACTCTTTGCAATGACTCCTTGCAATGACTCCTTGCAATGACTCCTTGCAATGACTCCTTGCAATGACTCCTAGGAATGACTCCTTGCAATGACTCCTTGCATTGACTTTCATGATGATGATTCCTTGCAATGACACCTTGTAATGACTCTCATGAGAACAACTCAAGTGAACCCAGCGGAAGAACCCTTCGCCATGCTTTCGGGAAAACAAAGAGCAACGCAAACATGGGAAAACAAAACGCAAGCGATTGCAGCTGATTGAAGAACGCCTTGGAACAAACCACGCGATGACGTCTTGGTTCTTACATTGACCACGTGCTTTCATGGGCCATCTGCCAATCGAAACGTTCATTGTCAGTTGGCTAAATGCTGGCACGAGGTGAAAAAAGAAGACATCAACATCAACACCACCCGTGCACCACCACAAACCGCAGACGTTAACTTCCCCCGCCAACCCCACCTCACCCCGCCCTTGAGGCCAACAATTGGGTCAATGCTGCGCGCAGTCAAAGGTGTTAACATCCCAACCCCAAGCCGAAAGTCAATGCTGCACGCAGTACGAGCGGACGCTAACATTTCCCGTGAGGGGTCAAAGGAACGCTCCAAGTAACGCCATCGAATATGAATTCGTGGGCAAGTTGGGTTACAAATGTAGGCGTGAAAGCAATGACCACAAGCACAGCAAGCGTGGTGATGCCTTTTTTTGCACTTTCTTCGGTATCCTACGTCAGGCTCGAACCATGAATGACAAAATAAGTTCTGCAAAGCGGCTGATCCAAACCATATGGAACAAACCACGACCGCTTCGTGGGGTTGGCACCAAAAAACAACCCCACTCCAAACAAGCTAGTCACGTCGCATGTGACTTTTGGGGGGGTGAATGAGGTCTATCTCAAACCGGACAAGTTTGCACCTATTTCGGATCTGATCTCCGTCCCCCCCCCCCCCCCCCCCCCCCCCCGCGCCTTCTTCATGTTGCGGATCCAACGGTTGCCCTGGCCCTGTGGGTCGATCATTAGAGGCCAGCGCCGGCCTAGCGCCGCTTGCGGCGGCTTAGCGACATGGGTCTCAGAGTGACCGAGTCACTTCCTGAGCTTGGCAAAAGAAAATCTAAACTTTTTGTTGACCACCAAGATGGTCAAAACCCAAAAAGTGACTAAAGTTCAGAAACTCAGGGAGTGAGTAACACATGATAAGCTCTAAGGGGGGGGCCTGTCTGTGGACATCATTTGGGTGTGGATTTATGTCACGCACCAGTGAAACTCATGGCCGAATGGCCTGAGGCTTGGCTAAGTGGTCTGTAGCCATGGTTGTAACCCAGTGAACGAAAAAAAACAACCATTGGTGGGTTATATGTAGGGATACTGAGTAGCCAGTGAAAAAATGACAAACGCGTTTCCAAGACCACCAAAGTCCAGCCAAAGAGGTTTCGATCCTCTCTGTCAGGGAGCCGATTTCGGAAAGGGATGGCTTCGGGGTGATCTGGCAGAGGGTCGTGCTGCAGACTGCCCCTGAAGGCCTCTGGTCACCAATAAGCCGTTCTCGATGGAGAGGTCATCTGAAGGGAGCGACCTCACCGAGAAACCGGGGTTCCTGTCTTTCCTTTCTAATCCTCGGCATGTGAACAAACAGTTTCTTGTTTGCAGCCACCTGCTAAAGATGATCAAACAAACAAAGCACATGCCAAGAACAGTAAAGTTTCTCTGTTGATTGGCGCTAAGGCGAACTCCCTAGGAAACCGGCGGGCAAAGGATACGTAGTCTCAAACAAAATCCAGATGTTTGAACGGGATGCCACTGGGCATCTGGGGCAGATTTCCAGGTAAAGGCCTCGTTCAAGCGTGGGCCCATTGAACACCCATCTCTGCTTGTTCCCCATGAATTCAAATCACCTCACTGCTGGCTCCGACAGGTTTATCTTGGCTGTTTGTCCTGTTGACCCCCATTCGAATGCTCCAAAATCAGACCTTGGCGAGGCCTCCGGCTTCGGGCGGAGGAGGGGGGGGGGGAGGGGCAGTAAGGGGGGAGATGACACTTGTCAGCTGACATTTCGCAAGCACCTCTCTCAAGACCTGAGCCTGCAGTGAAGCTTCTGAACGAAAAAGCGCTGCTTCTTGTTGGGGCTTGAATTTGGATTTGGGACCCTGCCAGCTTTGGGAAAGGACTCCCCCCCGAAAGATCCCTCCCAAGTTCATGCGCCTGCTTAGCGCTTTAGCAGGGTTCCCATATTCTCACTCTGGCGCTTCTAAACAGCACCTGTGATGCCAAGGGGAACGTAGCTTGTCTGAGGTCCGCTGGGGACTGGGGACTTTTCCAGCCCTGCCCCCCCTCTCCCCTTCTCTCCCTTCACCGGGCGTTTTTTGGGAATCGGACCCCGAAAATGGCAACTGTGTCCTTTTGGGTTCCCTTTAACTACCAACCTCAAAGGGTTGCTCTTCCCCCCTGAACATGTCCAACCTTTTCTAGTTTTAAAGGAAACAACACCAGTTGCTTCTAAAGGTCTCGTCTGGGGATTTGGTTATACTCTTAACCAGCCACGAATCAAAAGAGCTACAAGGTCAAGTTTTTGGGACCTCTGGACCCAACGAAAACCCGAAAGGTGGCTTGGAGGTTAGGATGGCGAAGACCAACAAAAACAACAACCTGTAACCTCACCATAAACCAAACACAAACAACGGAGTTGCTTTTGTGACCTGGGACATGGGCATCATAAACCACACAAAGAATAAAAAACAACGACAAGACAACGTGCAGAGGCGCTTGATGTTCCACTCCCGGATCTCCGCAGGCTCGCATAGGGTGTCAGCGCACCTATGGAGCGAATGAGATCAGTCACCCACTTCCCGAGAGAGGCTCGCCCAAGTGGTTCTCTCACTTCCTGAGTGGATTGGCCAAAAATGTCAACTGTTTATTTACCACCAAAATGGTCTTCCCAAAAGGTTTAAAGTCCAGCAACTCGGGGAGTGAGCTTTGTCTTGGGGGAAGGACCTCGGTCAAGAACACAACTTGCCCAAAGGACCAAAGAGGGAAAGCCGCCATTGGCTTCTGAGCCAGAAGCCAAATCTTAAGACAAACAAACAACACAACCTTGGATCCCCAAGTAAAGGACCTAGATCATAGCTTTGCTTTCTCGTTTCACTCCCGGATCCGTGAGCTCGTTATCGGCAGAAACCATATCGACGGCTGCACGTGAACCTGGTAAGCACACCCATGCCCACACCCCGCCAAAAAGAACGGCCTCTTTTTCCCCCTTTTGCATCGATGCAAATAAAGCACCACAACGTCCAAGCTCCCAAGGACCCCCAGTCAGATTCCAAGTGAGTGGGAAGGAAAGCATGTCCACTGTGTCTTTGCTATGGTAATGCCAATCTAGTTCAGGCACGACAAAGGGATTTGGATTGTTCCCCAAATTCCTCCGATGTTGTCAAAAAAACAACAGGGGAAACCCAAAACATGTGGTGTCCTCGTTGTGTCCCTCTAACACCAACAAACAGGGGACCCCGCAAAACAACATACCCGTCCATTCAACCACCACAAGGGAGTTTCATACTTATGAGCCATGATAAAAATGACTTGTTTACCTCGCGGATATGGAACATTTAGGTCGCGTCCCTTGGTTGTTGCGTGTGACTTTTTGTGAGTCGGCCATGTTCCTCCGAAATGGACCGTAGTACAAACCACTGGTTTCTTTCTTCTGGCCGCTCGACCACAGAATCCGGAGACTTCGACCAAACCTCTTCTGAAGACCCTCCAACCACAATTGGCGCTTCCTTCTCCCTTCGAAACCAACAAGCACTACTTCAACCACACAATTCCTTTTATTTGAGCCGCTTGGGTCCCGAAGTGCGGTTCGAAGGGAGCCCCTTCGAACCGCTCTTCGGGACCCGAGCAATCGATGAGTTGAACCCGATCCAACCATCCCTTGGATCCGGGGCCGGCGCTTCCAGGCCGGATCCGCGGTAAGGTTCACCTCCTGTGCCGTTGAAAGCCATCGCCCCACCAGCCTCGTGCGCGGAAAGGGACCCGAGGGAAGCGGACGGTTGGGGGGGCCGAAAGGAAGCCATGGCTTGGTATCTGTTTGGGAGTGATTGAAAAGACCATGTGTTGGTGTCCTGTTTGGACGTGGTGTCAAAGGAACCTTGACAGTGCTCGGGAATGGCTTAAAAGGTCGGGGGAAACAACTGGAGCGAAGCAACGCCCTGGGCGGGCTCTCAAAGCTTGGAGATTGCCAACTCAGCTGGGCGGCGCGTTAGGTGTTCCCCAAACTAAGGTTAAGGTTACTCTTGCAACGGCCTTATCAAACAATCCACAATCCACAACATTCTCCGGTATCGGTGTTTGGATGTTACATACCGCTTGAATGTCGGGGCATGTTGTATGCAAGCCTATGGTGGTATGTAAGCATGCACACCTTGAAACTACTCTTGGAAATGCCCTTGACATGTGTTTAGGCTTTCCATTCCCGTTCCTGTGCTCTCCCCCCGAACTTGCATCCTGTCAATTCACGAAGTACCCGAAATCCGGTGTCGACATTAAAACCAATTCAGCAAATGCACACATTCCCTGTACGAGCGGCATTTCCCCCTTCAAGTGTGGCCAACTGCCAAACCAATTGCGCATGAGGTGACTGGTCCGTAAGAAATAATAATAATAATAATAATAATAATAATAATAATAATAATATGGACCTCTAACATGATGGAGAGACCTGCCAACACACAAAAACAAATCCAACAAATGCCCTCGTGATGAAGCCATGGCACCCGTTAAATTTGAAGGGAAAACTGCCCAAGGGGCACTGCCGAACTCAAAAGCAAACGGAAAAGCGGCAATACTGGCGGTCGGGGGATTTTGGGTGAACGTAGACGGCACAACCCCCTTCTATGGGTAGGGTCGCTAAAAATAGGGGAAGTCTGCCATCTGCTTTCACCCAACTGTATGTTACGTTTCCCTTTCTGGGTTTATCCAAGCCCTTAGCGAAAAGGTCGTTACACCTTTTGTATTCGTAATGGCAAAGCCATTTTGCAAAGGGCTAAGGTCACACTCTAACAAACTAGCAACCAAGAAAACTCCTCTTCAAATCAACTGGGCTTTGACGAGTCTTTGGACAACTCTCTGTAGAACTCCTGTAGCTGGTTTCTATCCCAGTCCTTCCAGTTCCCGCTATAGCAGCTCACCGGGGGAAACCATCATGCAAAACCTGAGGTAAGACACCCTTCCCTGCAACAGTAGCTTGCGCAAGGGCGTCCCGTTTGACAAAGAATGGTTTGCCCTGGTAAATGAAACACCCAGGATTTTCCGACCAGGACCCGCCGTCGCTTTGCTACCAAGACAACCCAAACACATCGACCCCTCGACTGGACGTCGATCGACTGAGCTCCCCTGGCCCTGCGCGGAACTCCGCGGTGAAGGGCCCCGCGTAGGCGACGAAGCCCGCCGCCAGGGCGATGTCGCCTCGCCCGCCCCAAAAAGCACCAAGCACGGGCTCGGAGACCGACGAACGCCAAACATGGGAAGTGCACAACCCCCCAAGAGGAAAGTAGTCTTTCTACAGGTGTGCGTGCACTTCCATGTTGGTGGAGCTTCAACATGACACCATCCTGCTTGATCTTACAAACAAACAACTTGTGTGGTCGATTAAACTAGAGCGGTTCTTCGTTCGCCAGCAACACTTCGGGATGTGCAGGGAAATGTAAATGATTCCTCAATTCGGGGGAACGTGGAAGAAAGCTGCGTTGTATAGCCCGGTAGTTTTACTTGCAATACCATTCATTGTTGAAATGTGCCCCTAGACCAAAATACCTACAAATCCGCTGAGTTGGCTGGCTAGAATAAGTTTAAGCTTGTTTGCCGAATAAAATCCAGGCAGCAAACATATTGGAGTTTGCAAACTGAAAAGGTGAGGCCATAAGTTTACAATCCAATATCGCTTGACGACGCTCGTTTAAAATGCTCCAAACAGCAAGAGCAAAGTAGTGGATGCAGGCAAGCCCCGACAGTAGATAATAGATAACCAGGAAGCACAACCATGTAACATCATGTAACAACCCACAAGGATCCACTGGGCACGACATGTCCCCTACACCTTTTTTCTTGAAGCCGGGTGTTACCAACCCGACTCGGTAAGGAGCGCGCCCATCACAAACTTGATGTTCTTCTCCAGAATCTTGCTTGCCGCATCCCATCTAACGGACCTCAGCGAGACTCAAAAAGGTGTCTTGCATGTTGGGTTGACCATATGTGTCTTGATTAAGGGCACCCCTTGGTTTGGTGGTTGTTTAAAGGGGAACACAAGGAACACTTTCCAATTTTGAGGGTCCCGTATTTTGAGAACCCATTTTGCACCCAGGTGGGGAGCCCCTCATCTTTCGCAACAATTTGTCGAAAACGGGTGGTTTCTAAAGAGAACCTTTGGGTGAAGAGCATGGGGAATCAACCCTTAGAATCTTCCTTGGGAAAGAAGCCACATATGGATCTCGCTTCGTGTTCTTTCATCCTCAGCCGGGAGAAGGGTAAAGCCACATTCAGGCATGTTTCCTATGGTCATTATTCATGTCCAAACCGGACTCTGAGCCCCCGAGTAAGCGGCCTTGTGTAAGGCCGTGAGCAAAACAAGAATTGGTGCGCTCGCGGCTCGCGATGTTATCCACCTGGACCTTGCCACCAAATGATGGTGTCTATTTTTCACTTCCTGAGTGGATTGGCCAAAAATAGTCTGAACCTTTTATTTACCACCAAAACATTATTCCCAGAAAGTTGAATTGAAGTCCAGGAACTCAGGGAGTGAGTTCTGGTGTGGTGGATCAGTACCTGGCCGGCAAAATAGACCACCCAGTCCCGCTAGAATGTGTAGCAAAAGGACTCTTCAATAAAATAGATGCAAATAGATCGATAGAAAACTCACAGGTCCACTGGCACCGCAGTTTGATAAGAATGCTTCAAAAAATATATAGAGGCAAATGATGGCAAATGCGTAGATACAACAACTTTATCAGGACAACTGGCGCTGCAAACTGCCTTCGGGTTCGTGGCTTCTATCAGGTTCCCCCTTTTGGGCTTGGTGCAGAGGGCTGTGCCCAGGCTCCCGGAGAAAATTCTTGCGGGGCTCCGGGCTCGTTGCCGAGGCCGGCCAGCAGCTTCTCGGCACGGCCCAACTTCACCTCACAGGGTCGAATATCTAATGGTGCGAGAGATGCAGGGAATGAGAAATGGAATGATCAAAGAAAAACCAACCCTTCGGGTTTCCTTTTTATATTCGGGAATCCCAAAACGGTTCATTCCATTCCCTACTGAGCACCAGCAAGTTTGCCTCTGGAACTTCTTACATGGTGATTTACATTACCTTAATTGAATTCATACACGCCACCCCCCCAAGAAAAAGGTGGATCACCTGGGGTATGGACAAGCCAAGTTTGGCTCCAAAGTGTCTCTTCGAGGCCAGGAAGGTGGTGAAGGTAGTCCAAACACCCCTTGCGTCATCCTGGGATTTACCTCCCGAACGTCTTACAGGCTGATTATCATGAAAAGCCACGCCCCAAGTACCTCAAAAACGAGCCGCCAGAAAGGACGCTTCCTCTCATAAGCCAAAGGAGGTTTGGCGCGGTAACTGCGGTCACCACCCCTGGACAATAACTTTGATGTTAATTCTTATCCTGCTGGGTCCCAGAAGCTCCAGTTCCATCGAAACTTGAGATTAAGAGATACGACACTCGTGTTCAACGGTTCAAGTCTGGCTGTTTGACATGGCCGCCCGGCCAATCCCAATCCAAATTCCCTGGAGTATGGAATCCCCAAGGGGGGGTAGGAACCCCCCAGAAAAATCCAACAACTAGAGTGGACCCAAAGGCAAAGGGGGGCCAAATACGCTCGCAAGGATTGACGGCGATAACTTCGAACAGCGGGTGAAGTGAAAGACTCAGCTTTCTGGGGCATGCATGGACATCCCCCCGCGAATTCTTGGCTAAAAATCCTCTTTTCTGGGTTCCAAGTGTCCGACTCCCAGTGATACTTGGGAAGAACCAACGAAGTAGCAGCCAAGAAGCTGGCTTCATCCCAGCACCAGGTAGCAGCCACGCGTTACAAGTTACAAGCGTTACAGGTAGAACCAAGCCAGCGATTTCCAAGTAGCAGCCAGCCGAGCAACGTGTGCGCTATTCGCTGGAAATCGCCCACCTTGCATGTCTCTGCATCTTGCTCGAGCTTCTCAGCCTTGGTCCTGGCACGAGCGGCTGAGGTAAAACTGTGAAAGATGATCAAGGAAGCGTTAAGTGCGTAGTAACCATGTCTAAGTGAGTGACGTGGGTTCTACAGGTTCCAAAAGGTGGGGTGTGTGTGTGTGTGTGAGCCCTCACAAATGTGGCTAAAGTCTTAGGCATTCCTCTCAAACTGTAACGTATGGATTAATGTCTTGCAGTCAACAGACCTGGACTTTTGTTCAGCCAGTGGGGCAAACTGGTAGAAGCACAATGTTGTGTAAGGGTTGCGTGCCTTATGAGGATGTACCGGCGATTTTGTATACATATATGGTGGCTATGGCTAATGTGCGTATGTATGTATTTATCTACGTATCTATCTACATATATATATATATATGTCTCTATGTATGTATGTATGCATGTATGTACGCATGCATGTATCCATGTATGTATGTTTGTATCATGTATGTATGTCTGCATGTATGTCTGCATGTATGTCTGCATGTATGTCTGCATGTCTGCATGTATGTCTGCATGTATGTCTGCATGTATGTCTGCATGTATGTCCGTCTGTGTCTAGGTATGTGTGTACGTATGTATGTGTACATGTATGCATGTCTGTCTGTACGTGTGTCTGTGTGTCTGTCTGGACATAGGTATGTAGGTATGTAGATATGTAGGTATGCAGGTAAGTAGGCGTGTAGGTATGGTATGGTATGGAATGGTATGGTATGGTAAGGCATGGCATGTTCTGGTATGGTACGGCTGTATGTATGAATGCATGCATGTATGTATGTATGCGTGTGTGCGTGCATGTACGTGTGTATGTATGTGTGTGTATATTATGTTGTGTTGTCTTACAGTATGGTATGCTATGATAAGTTATGGTATGTTTTGTTATGGTTTGTTATGTATATAATATATGTCGTGCGCGCAGGACACACGCCCGTACGTGTGCATGTATGCATGCATGTATATACGCACACATGTAGGTATGGATTTATGGATGTATGTATGCACGCATATATGCATGTCCAATGTGCTTCTGTGTATGCATGCATGTATGTATGTAGAATGTATGTGTGTATGTGCATGAATGTGTCTATGTAAGTATGTACGCAGAATGCGACAATGCATGCAGGTACTAGTGAATGCTTGGCTGAATGATGAATGCATGTACGTACGACTGATGAATGCAGCATGTATGAGTGCATGCATGAATGCATGTATGCATGAATGCATCTATGCATGAATGCATGTATGCATGTATGCATACATGCATGCATGAAAGTGTGAATGTATGGTATGTGCATGAATGTGTATATGTAGGTATGTACGCAGAATGCAACAATGCATGCATGTACTAGTCAATGCTTGGCTGAATGATTAATGCATGTACGTACGACTGATGAATACATCATGTATGAGTGCTTGCATGAATGCATGTATGCATGAATGCATGTATGCATGTATGCATGCATGAAAGCGTGAATGTATGGATGTATGAATGAATGAAAGTATAATTGCATGAATTTATAAATGTAGGACATGTAATAACATATAATGACATTTGATTTAAAATACGTAATTCAGCGCAGTGTAGTGCAATCAGGTAGTGTGTCGTCATCTGTTGCGACCCCAATACTCGCATGATTTATCGGACGTGAAACTCCAATCTTTGGGTCTTCCAACATAACACAAATGGCAAGACTGCCAAAGTGCGCCATGTGACTTTGGCTGACAGATTGAACACCTGGCAAGCGGTGCAACTGAGACAGTAATCTGGATGGATCTCAATGTAATGGGAATGATTTCCGATACAAATCAAGCAGGGCCTTCCTAGTCCGTTGGGGCGGCTCTCAAAGCGATTGGCAAGCATGCGTATCAAGCTTCTTCAAGCTTCATATAGGCCCGCTCTCAAATCCGTATCAACCAAACTCCACTAGAACCCCTTGAGTCTTTTACTGCGTAGAACCCTTTTAAATGGAAAGGGGAGAGTGCGGGTGTGCTTCGGGCTCCCTCGCGAAAGCCGTGTGCCTCGCGCTGGACAGCTGCGATTGGAGCTCGGCGACCTATGCACGGGGAAATGGATCGGGTAAACCTCGGTTTGTCTCCATCTTAAGTGTAAACTGGTTGCATTGGTGATTTGGTAACCCGATAACCCCCCCCCGGATCCCACAAGGGCTAATAGCAATCAAAAAGGCTTATCAGGGGCCAATGGGGTTGTCCTTTTGGGGTCTTCTCTTTGGGGGGATCCTGACAACCATGGGATTTGCTGATCCCTTGCTTCAAGTTGACAAATGCTCTAAACGCTAACAAAAACATAAACGTCAAGATGCGTCAGCTTTGGGATTGCCATCTTCTTCACGAATCCGGCCTGAACATCTGCTTTGACGTTTGCTTGTTTTACACAACCAAAACCGCCCATACAGTGGATGGACGAAACCCCAAACGAAACCCTGGTTTCTGATGACCCCCTGTACATACCAACAAACATCAACGAGCTATGGTTTCCCATGGTTTCAAAGTCTTCGGCGAAGGTCATCGCCTTCGCAACTTCCCCCGGAACAAACTCCGAATCGTATCTGCCCAGACCCATGGCCATAGGGAAACAAAAACAACAACAAGACTTGGCGCTCGTTATTGGTCGATGGTAAGGGAAGCAACCCAGCGGTCTGCAAAACCCAAAGGCCCAAAGCCCAGCCGCTGACCCTCAAAAATTGCAACCCGTTTTGGTGCCATGTGGGTGTGGGTCAAAAATAGGTTTCAAAAATCCGAAACCCTGGTAAGTTGAAAGGACACACATTTATGCGGTCCCCTGGCGGGACGAACATTTCCGCGGTCCATATCCTGGTGCTGAAACAATCTGACCCAATGTGTTGACCATTCGTGGGGAAGTCGGAAGCAACCAAACCAAAAGGGTGACCCACACCTCCAAGTGCCATGCATGGGCAAAAAACGGATCGCCTGAGCCCGGCGAACTCCTGTGCGTGCTTTTCAAGATAGACCCCGAAAGACTGGCATGTTCCTAACCCAAAACGGGTTTGCCATGTTGAGACACACCTGTATGGTATGTGTCACTTTGAACATTGCTAAACTTGGAGTGAAGGCCGGGAATCCTTTGAACATTAACACGACAAGTGTTGGTGTGTTTCGGGCCGCGCTTTTGCCTCCAACTAGTCAGGGCCCTCTAAAGAAAGTGGTCTTTGATTCTTAGCGGCGCTTCTCGGCTGTTCCCAAGGCAGCAAAAGGTCAACTGTTCGGGAAGCAGTGCGGCAAACAGTTACAAATCATCTCGACAACTAGTATTAGGGGTCATCTATTTTGAGGCAAACCTAGGTACCTTGTACCCTGGGAACCCTGGAAGCCTCTCATCTTGATGCCAAAAAACCCGCGGCCAACAGGTGCCGGATCCAACAAAATTCCTTGCAAGTCAACGACTGGCAAAGACATGTCCGTCAAGTGTTTTTCTTGCCCTGAGGACATTGAAAGGTCCATTTTCTTTCGCCTCCAGAGAACAAACCAACCCTTCATTCGAATGGACCGAGCAATGGAAATTTTATCACCCAAAGAGATGGATCAATTCTTGAAGTTTCCGTTGACCCCTCTGCAAAACAAACAAAAAAGATTCTGTGTGGCTAATCCCCGAATTTTCTCAACAAAATGTGAAGTCCAATCCAACCAGATAGCCATACAGAATTGGCCACGGGTCAAAATCCAAATCGGTTCGCCCCAATCAACCACAAAAATAGGTTCTAACATGGGTGGTGCACCTACCAACCAAAACTCCCATTAGTTTGACCCACAGCCAATTCTTGCCCCGGGGTCCCAAAAATCGCTGGGCTCCCCGGCATTGTCCTGCACCGCCTTCAGCTCCTTCTTCTTCGCCTGGAGCTTGCCCTCTGCTGCAGCCAGCGCGTCCTAAGGCTGAGTAACCAACCCAAGCAACCCTATGACCGTACACCATGTAAACCATATGGCTGTGGGTCAAAAATGGGTACCAAAAATAGAAGCCTGGTAAATGCAACCAAAGACTAAAACCTGCGGTCCAATTCCTGGTGGTTTAATTTTGACCCACACCCATATAAAATCATATGCAACCACTAAACAAACAACACAATTTATGTAACCATAGTTGCTTCTTTGTAAAAACCAGTCAAACTACAGGACCCCCGCCCAAAAAACAACCGTGGTGGTCCTTTTGTTTTCCCTTCAAACCAACCTGAAAAGGTTCCCTGCAAAACAACAAACACTTTCATACAACCGTATACAAACCATATAGAACCTCCAGCTCAGAGACCCTACCAACCTCTAGTTCCGGCTCCCAAAAAAAGTTTAGGGTTCATAACCCCAACAAAACCCTTGAGCTGTACACCTATCAAGCCCCCAAAGTAGGATCCCTGACCAGCATATAGGTTGCCAACTCACCCGTTCGCATCGCCCTGCCAAAGGAAAAGCAACTCGACATCTGCAGCCAAAAAGCTCAGGATTGATCAGCACAAAACAAAAATCAATATTCTAGGAACTGGTCAAACTATATGCTACAATGCACGACCCGCAAATACGGGCTCCCAAAGGAACTTGCTCGAATCTTATTTCGAGGTCGCAAATCAAATCTTGTGGGGTCGCCATAGATTGCCTAAGATGCCATCCAGCACTACCTCACTTAGCTTGCCCTTGTGGGACCTAGAAACAAAAGGCGATCACCGTTTTTAGACCTTTACTAGAAGTGGACCTAAAAGGGAAACACCTCTAAAACCGGATTAGGTCCTCCAGTAGAGAGGTTAGAATAAGGGTACCCTTGGGCACCCTCCCCCAAAAGCGGTGAGAAAGGGCGCCTAGCTGGGGGCCCTAGCTAACAAAGTCCTGCCCGCAGAACCAACGGCTTGGCGCTTTGGATTGGTTGGGAAATTGGGGGAAACTGGGGGGGGGGGGGGGGAACCTCTAAAACTGGACCTAGGGATAACAAAAACAAATATTTCAGGACCTAGCCGTTACTAAAAGTGGAACTAACAGGGAAACACCTCTAAAACTGGACCTAGGGAAAACCAAAAAAGTTACTTCCGGTCGACTCGCTTTGAATCAACTAAAGGGGAGAGAAGGGCACTACTGGGACCTAGCGGACCTGGGGAAAGCCAACAGGTTATTTCAGGTCGATTCGCTGCATCGACATCGGGTCCTCAGCGCCCTTCAGCTTCTCTTTCTTGGGTTCGATGGAGCGAGCCACACGGGCATACCTCGGGAAAACCCCCGGCTCAAGAGGGCATGTGGAATATATACACCTAGGACTTTCCACGGTGTGTAAAACATAGCGGCTTTTTCGAACAGATAACTGCTTTTTCACTTCTGCGAGCGGAACTTTACAGATCGGACTTTCTAGGTATATATATATATTTATTTATATATGTTTGCATATGTATATGTTTTCTCAATGATTACCCCTAATTAGTAATCCCCCCCTTTCCCACCCATCAAGGTCTCGTTGGTCCCCTTCGGTCCTCTCCCTGTCTTGGCCAATAGGACTGCAATGGGAAAGTAAAGGAAACCGTGCTTTTCTTCCAGGGCTGGAGAGGGCCATGATGAATCAGGGGGCTTTTGTGTTGCCAGCGGGGGACCTTGAAGGGGGAGTGCCCTTTGTGAGCTTGTCGAACCTTGATTTTGCGGACAGCACTTGCAATTTGGAAGTGCAACTATTTGTCGCTTTGGGGATTTTCTCCGGGGTGGGGGGAAAGGATGGCACTGTCGGAGCAGACCATCCAATCTTCTCTCCCGGAACCCATTTTAATCTGAGGTTTGCCCTTCTTAGGGCGGTGGGCGGGGTGAGGGTTTCTCAATCCGACGCAGAACGCGTCGACACTTTTGGGGCATTGCCTAAGATGATGAAGCAGTATACAAATCAAAAAATACAGTTTGCCGACTGCTCGGTCAACCCTCAACTCCACACCTAGGATGCAAAGATGCGCGAAGTGCTAGGTCAGTTTAGCCTGTACGATCACACTGCCATGATGTTACCTGCCAATCAGCGCATGGCACATGAACTATGTACTCCACAAAGCTAGTGCTCCCCGAGTAATGCAATCACTTTCGCCACTCCTCACATGGGACCTGCGCCATACCTCGCCACTGTCTGGACGAGAGCCATCTCATTGTCCCGCATTCGGCATCAAAAGCTGCCTATCCTGGTATCAAACATGCGCGGTTGATCAGTATTGTCAGTCGTCCAAAAACGCCCGTTTTCCCAAGATGGTCATGGATGTAAATACAGTCGACCAACAACAGCAAAACAATTCACCAAGCGCTGACCCAGACCAACCACATTTGAACAGCGCAAGATCAGGCGGGCCTTTGAAACCCTCGTGAACCAAAGTACTCTACAGCATTGCTTTGGAGCCAGTCGCTACGGTGTGTAGACCCAGCAAGGTTTGTAACATATGTTGTGTCGCCCATATAGCTTTTCTTTAGCCTATATAAGTTCTCTTTAGTTTCAACTCAGATGCCCAGTGACCAGGGGAAAAACAAGGGCATCCTTTTCTGGTTGGTTGACCTCAAAGGGGACCCTTCCCCAAAAAAGTCGAAAAAAGGAAGCTCCCCTGTTGTTTGATCGTCCGCGACCCATCCCCACTTTTGTTTTTTTTCCGGTTGCAGCCCAAGTGACACGTCCATGGCGCGAACCCACATGCACAAAGAGGTGGCCGCATTGGAGACCTTCTTCACCTCTCCGGATGGGTGGATATGGGGCCGCCTTTGGCTGGTGGGTATTTGTTTTGGGGTTTTTCACAAGGGAAAATGAGAGGCAAACAACAAAGTTTTCTGTTCCCCTCTTTGGAAACAAAATTTGTTTTAGGGTTGGTGAAAAGAGAAAATGAAAGGCAAACAACAAAGTTGAGTGTTCCCTGCTTAGGGAGACAAAGACATATGATGAACTTAAAGTGCGGGCCCATTAGTGAATACCATTTGGGTGGGGAATTATTTGTGTCCACCATTCATTGCCAGATGGTCTGGGATGCGGCTAAGTGGCTAGTAGCCATGGTTGCGACACACGGGGACTTGCAAGTAGCAACTTACAATGGGTTTGGTGGTCTTTGCCCCTGGCTTCCCTGGTTCCTCCGAAAAATAGGACACGCACCAATCACCGCCTCCTTTGTGGGGTGGCTGGCTCTGCAAGCGGCGCGCGGCCAACAAAATCTGTAAACACACACACACACACACGCACACACACACACACACACACACGCACACGCACACGCACACGCACACGCAACACACACACACACACACACACACGCAACACACACACACACACACACACACACACACACACACACACACACACACACACACACACACACACACACACACACACACACACACACACACACACACACACACACACACACACACACACACACACACACACACACACACACACACACACACACACACGCACACACACACACACACACACACACACACACACACACACACACACACACACACACACACACACACACACACACACACACACACACACACACACACACACACACCACACACACACACACACACACACACACACACACACACACACACACACACACACACACACACACACACACACACACACCACACGCGCACGCACGCACGCACGCACGCACGCACGCACGCACGCACGCACGCACACGCACACGCACACACGCACACACACACACACACCACACACGCACATGCAACACACACACACAACACACACACACAAGCAAACACACTACGTGCACTTGGCCAAGGGTCTCATGGGCAACAAGGAATTCCTCCTTGGTGTAGTTTGTTTGAGGGCCAATGGACATCATTAAAAACAAAGGCACCTGTTCACAAATCCTGCAAGCCCCCGGGACCTGTTTCCTCAACAAACCTCACTGAGGCCTTACTGATGCCTTACCGGGTTGCTCCTCCCCCCTGAGCAAAAGGTGGATCACTTGTTGTAAGGTTTCCCACGGTTTCCCGCAGGGAAAGAACACTGCAGCAATTGTTGGGTTGAACCAGACACATCCGGCGCCTGATCTGGCTGGAAATCCTCTCGCTTCACCTGGGCGTGGGATTGAATGTTTGCCTCTTGGTCCCTTGTGGAAATCAAGGAATCCACCAAAAGGCTTAGCCAGACAGGACACCAGAACGAGGCCGTGACACTCAAAAAAGCTTACGTAGTGATGCTTGGTGCAGAGTTACTCACCTGCCCGGCTTTAGAAGGTCTTTCAACAAGGAACTAGTGGGGGTCCAATCTCAGGATTGATATGCTTTGTGTGAAAAGGTGATGTGAAACCATAGCAGCTGACTACGTATGCAGGACTTCTCGGGGAACTGAAGGACCCGGAAGGGCCATCTTCCAATAGCTCTGCCTTGCCATGGCTACTCCAAACACCCGACTTCAGCCTTCAGCATTGATCATCTGCCGACAAACACAAACAAGCAAGCAAGCAAACAAACAATTGGTACTCCTGCTGACAAGCGCCATTTCTGGACAACCCTGGACAACTGTTGGTCAACGCTGCCTGGTGCATATATATATATATGTATATATACATACATACATATATTATGGATGTGGCTGAAATTGAGGCCCAAACTGGAACCCTAGAAAATGGACAAGTAGATGCAAACCTGCGGTCCGGCGGCCCTAAAATTTTGAGCCACACTCATCTGTATCTCCGGCAGACACAGCACAAAAAGCGGCTGCTGTAGAATCTTGCCAAGAAAACAACGAGCGGAATCCGTTCCATGGAGACTCTGACACACATACGCAGAAGAATCTCACGGAATGCTCAACTACACTCAATGTTGGTCAGCTGTTGGGCTTGTGCCTTCAAGTCGAAACTGGGCGCGACAAAGTCACTTGCAACAAGGACAGCTGGGAGCCCTCCCAATGAGGAAATGGACACCGAGAACGGGGTTGCTTGCTTTTGACTTCCCTGTATGGCCAGCCCAAAACCGCCAAACATGACTTGAACATTACCTTGGATGTCTAAACCACCTAACAATGGAAATGAAGCTCGATCCCCTCAGTAAAACAATCGAAAGACGACTAGGGAACATGAAAGCCATGTTTCCGTTCTGTGAACATCTGTTGCGCCCAAGGCATCAACGCCCCGAGCTGGGCCCAGGCGTATTTCTGTAGCTTCTGTGTGAGCTTGGCGTTGCCAGCCAAGGCGTCCTGGTGTTGAGTTCCGCGCCTTCTCAATATTCCCTTCAGCCCTCAAACGACCTCGGGTAACTTTTCCCATGTTGAAGTATCATCAATTTAGTGGTTTTCCCAAATGGTCATGACATGTAAAATACCGTTTTGTTTTTTTTTGTTTTTATGCATGTCATTCGTTATTCCCCCGCTCGGTCCATTCGGGGAAGCTCAGTTGATTTTGGATCGCACAGAAAGGGTGATACGTCCCGCCCGCTTGATGCAAAGCTACTTGCTTCCGAGCGCATCATACTGGTTTTCGCGGAACCTTGCTTTTCGAAGGCCTCCGCTTACTTTCCCAGTGGACATGACACAAGAACGACACCATCGTCCGTTGGTGGGCTGGAACCCGGTGGGCCACGGGGCTCAAAAGGAACAGACCTGCAGGTCTACGTCTACAGCCGTCAGCTCAACCTAAGAGCATGACCAAGTCAACATGTTTGGTCTCACCCCAACGGACCTGAACTCGGATGCCCAGTGGAAATCCAGGGGAAACAAGGGCATCCTTTTCTGGTTGACTTTAAAGCGGCACCCTTCCCAACAAGGAAAAAGGGCACCACTGGGCTGGATGAACGTTGACTGAAAGGCCAAGCTTGAAACCGAAAGGTCACAAGGTCTATATAATGGGCACGTTGGTGCAAGCTGGTGGCACAATCATGCGGCCAACACTTACATCTATGGCAGCCTGAGGGTTTCCCTCTCAACTAATATGTTGCTTGACGGTGAGAAAGCTGTAGGTTTGCCCAAAAGCTGAACAGTTGCGCCACCGCAGAACATGGAGCCGTAGCTCAGGTTTAAACCAATACAAGGTTGAAAGCATTTTAGGCAATCAATCAAAAGCAGGGCTCCCTATATTTCCCTTTCACCATCACCAAAGGGACCTCACTTTCAATTGGTTTAGGAATTGGGCGTGTAATTGATTTCCCTTTGGTGTCCCTTTGACAACAGGGGTTGTTTGGCAACAAAATGACACCGACAAAGCCCTCGCGACTTGCGGTCTCCTTGTCGTAATCTTTGAGGCTCTGAAGGAAGCCGGAATCATTCATGAGCTTCTTGGCCTCGCATGTGTTGAGCTAGGACCCCAAAATGGTGGGTTTCCTGTTGGACCAACCCTGGCAGACCAACCTGAAAAGGGTATCCTGTGAAAAATCTGGACGCCCCATAGTCTGTGAACCGTCACCCCTAAAGCTAACTCACCTTGAAACCTGCTGGTGCAATAGGCAGGGAATGAGGGAATGACCCCTACAAACCATCCCTTGTGGCTTCCTGGAGAATCTCCAGGTTCATTCCCAAAACCCAGGGTCATTCCCTACTGAGCACCAGCAAGAAAAGGGGCCAACAGGTGGTGTGCTCCAAGGGAAAGATAGGGAGGCCTCCACTTCATGAGTACTGCGAATAGGCAAAATCTGCTAAGCGCGCCAGCTACCTCAAGCGGAATGCGTCCATCACCGAAGTGGTCAAGCCGAATACACAAAGGAAAGCATCTCAATTTCGACTTTGCGCGAATTCGACTTTGCTCGAGTTCACAACCGGAAACTTGGCAAAAGGTGGAGAGATCGAAATTGCACAACATCGGGTAATGAATCTATGAACGAAAGGGGACACCCCAATCAAAATCAAGCAGGGGCTTATTTAACCAACTGGCAGCTTTGAGGGGCAACGAGAAAGTCCAACCTGTTCAGACCGCTTTTAATCCACACTTCAAACCACTTTTGGCTTTGTTGTAAGTCCAAAAGCCTTGTCAACCCACCCTAGTTCCCGTTCGAAAGGAAACTGGACGTGGCGAAAGAAGATGGTTCAAAGTATATTCCAAGTCTTCGGGGTATAAACTCCGTTTCGGGGGTTTTCAGTGATAACCTTTTTTCTACAAAATAAACCCATGCTTTGGAGCAACGCCTGCACTCTTCTGGACCTAAAAAAACAAGCATGTCGTCTCCAGCCCGGTTCGAAGGTGTCGAGTCGGGGAGGATAAGCCTCGTCCCAGGACTCCTTTCGATTCATCAGCAGGCAGACCTAGCCGGGTCGCGACCGTGGCTGAAGCTTGGGGTGAAATAGTAAATCAGATATGCCAAAACGCGGAGAGAACCCCAGAAAACCCTGGAACACTGAACCCCGAGCCTGATTTTGAACAGAGCATCAGGAAAAAATAGATAAGCCCAGGTAGTCCCAACAGCCCTGGAACCCCTTGGAACCCTTCCTGAAAGCTGCTCTGAACCACTTCGCAGCCCAGGGCAAGGACCAAAGCTTTGAGCTGTTGGATAATGTTTTATCTTTTGAGAGCCAGCTGCATCCCGTTTTATTCCACTTGCTTGAGCCCCCTGGAATATGTATATATATATAATACTATTTCTAGTAGTGATAGATTCCCTTTAAAGCCAGCAGGGGACAGTACAAATGGCCTTAAGCAAATGGATGTTTTGGCTTTTGGGAAAATTGTAATCCATCTAGGTGACCCGCTTTCGAAAGCGGAGCCCGATTTGACAGGGCGAAACGGAATCGCCAAGACTCGACATAGCCGTTGGGGAAACAGCTGAACACCCGGGTGTGAAATGGTCACGCACAGGTGTCTGAACAAGAACAGAATACCGGTCCCTGTTTGATTGAGCAGATATAGGCAATTAAGTACCTAGTATAGTTGTTTGATCTCTATCAGAATAATTTCGCAGGGTTCCCTAATATTCAAAGTGGGAATTTGGAGAAGTAAGACTCTTATGATTCGAATGGCGTCTATATGCCCTCTCAAAGGATGCTGAAACGGAAACCGCCAAGAAACCAAAGAAGCCAATCCCAGATGTCTGCATTGCCATGGGAGGTGTCTCAAAATAGGTCGATCCCTAAAATGGCAACGGGTTCCTTTGGTTCCTCTATTTGAGAGACACTCAAATGGTTTGGCTAGATTTGATCCGATTTCTTGAAATGAGAAAACACATCCTTTCGTCTCCCAAAGGCAAGGGTTGACTAACCGGCTGACGGATCTGGCCTTTTGCAAATGGTTTCTTTAACAAGGAACAAACAACGATGAATCATAGATTGCAATTAGAACTGTGGAAGTCTTTGAACTTATGAATTTGTGTATTCCTCAAGTTGGATGAAATTGTAAATCGAGGACCGGCGGAACCCGAAATGTGGACATCATTCAGCAGATTTATCTCCACCATCCACCAACCATTAAGGTGGTTCCCTACGGTCAGATGCACTGTCTGAAGCTAAGGCCACGCGAGCCTCCAACTCGTTGGCCAAGGGGACCACAGGTTACCCGAGGTCAATTGAGCAGCACAGCACAAACGTACGGGCTACCGGGTTTACTGGTGATAAATAACAAAGCCCCTATAAACCTCACTTGAGTGGCCAAAAAAAGTCCGAACTTTTGGCTTACCAACATGGTCCAAACCCAACTTGTGACTAAAGTCCAGGAACCCGGGGAGTGAGATTCCGTCATAAGGGCCCTGAAGCATGACATAGATCTTCATGGCGCGTTGGGAATGCGTGCGTGGTTCCAGTTTCGGCTGAGTGAGTTGTTCCACCGGGAACTTGATTTCGCTTCGCGCGGCGCTGGACTGAGCTCTGGTCACATTTCGTTCATCTCAACATGACACTTGTTTCGTGTTCTTTTAGGGGAAATGGGCGAAATTTGGTGGCATAGGCATAGATAGGTGTCTTTTCCAGACAGCCGCCTACCATGTGGGTAAAGATTGCACTTCGTGTTTGTGTCTTTTAGAGTAATCCTCCACTTGTGAATTGGGTAGGCTGAGAGATTTGAACCTTGGTTGTGTTTTCGTCCAGCCTCTAAACGGGTAAGGTGAGAAATGGTCATTCATGACTTGTACCCCCCGCACCAACTGCAGTAGGAGGTTGCAAACCCCAAGATCTGAAATCGCTCAAATTTGCCCAGCTCTAATAAATGGGCTGGGCATAGAATTCCTAGCGACTAGAGCCTCCCTCAAAGGACGCAACGAGCTATGAGGGTCTAAATAATCCAAAGAAGTGAGAACTGGATATGAGCGGGGATGGGAGCAGAATCCAGCTGGTAGTCATGCACAACTCCAACCTGGCATGTGGGCTGGGAACAAGCCTTATGGCCCAAAGGGATCTTTGGGAACAGAGAAGGTCCTTTTGCATGGTGAGTTGACCCATGTTGTCCCCAACACTATCACACAAATTCGCTTAAGACCTATGCCTCAGGTCTCTGTTTGGGAAGCTTCATTTCCTTTCACATCCTTTGGGGATTCGGGCCCCGGTTTCCACGGTACCCGAGCCAATCTGTCCAAGCGGCAGCACTCAGCACGACCTCCACCAGCGGTGCTGGCTTGGCAAAGGACTTCACCTGCCAGGTTTTCGGGTGAGGGACCCGAGTCGTCAGGGCTACTTTAGAGCCAAACAGCTAGCCGTTACCATATCCTTTCAAGGCGAATGCACATATGGCGGCGGGTGAAAAACAGGTACCCGAAACAGAACCCTGGCAAAAAGAACCCAGGACTATAACCTGCCGTCCCCTGGTGGTTTCATGTTGGCCCATGCCCATATGGCCGTGCTGTTTTGGGGGGCTCGGTGCCCGTGTTGGGGCTGTTTCAAAGGGAAACCACGCGTTGTTGGAGTCGCCTTGTTTTGACCAAATCGAAGCCCTTGGGATAACTGAGCCAAAGAATCGCGGGCGTTGATTCCCTTCCAAGGACGCAATGAGAATCACGTGCCTGGGGCTTTGGGAGGTCTATGCACAACCTGTCAAAAGCTACAGGTCTTACTTGACCTGAGGTATGCAAGACAGCTGTGTTCAGATTCTGTTTTATTAGTGCCCTGAAATCTAGCGGAGATCCCAAAGAACCACAAGTGCCGTTTCGGCTTCGAGGTGGACTTTTCGGCTTCCGGGGCTCTGGCCATGGCCTCACATCTTCTCGCGCTTTCCGTTGGCAAGAGGACAAATACTTGGCTTGGTTGCTGCAACGACCCGCCTGCAAAACGTTTTAACTTTTTGGGGGTTTAGTGGAATACCCCAAAAGAGTTCAACCAAAAGGTTAAGATCCAACCCAATAGCAGTCGAGTTTGGGGCTCGAAGTGCAGTGGATTCCAAACCCGTCATTGGCACATCTTAAGGGTCACAGAAGCTGCAAGGTGGGCGTTGTGAGCCAAATGTGGTATGAGGTCTGACCGCTGCAAGCGCAGGCGATCAGCAAAAAACACAATATGTTGCTTGGTTGTTTCCCCACTTTACTCCAAAGTCTGCCGAGGTCGCGAACTGCCGCAAAGAAATGCGCTTCGAGGCTCGGCTCTCGGGGGCCCAGGCAGCGAACTTGTCAGAGGGCTCAATATGGGTGCTTCTCAAAATTCGGGGCCCCTCTGGGTGGTCGAGTTTTCGCTTCTTTTGCTTCTCAACCGGCAAACGAGTTTGTGTCGGCCAGGCAGAAACTGGGCCAGGCAACCAAGCAAAACACGCAAAGCACGCGTGGCGATCAAGCTGGTTACAAGGGAACATATGGACACTCGAAGTGACCCTGAAGGAGGGTAAGAACAACAAGGGCACTCTGGTCTTGCTGGTTGGTCTTGAGGGGAAAACACCTGCAAAAAGGAAAAAAGGGCGCTGGGCAATTTGGATCTGGCAGTTGAAGACCACCCAAGCCTTCCAAAAGCGCGCGAGAAACACGCGGAACCGCGAAGCGCTGGGGGGGGGGTTCCGCCTCCTGGATGTCCTTCTTGTCAAGAGAGTCCAGCGCCTTAATGGCGTCGTAGTACTCCGGCAGGGCCTCAACCCGACTTTGACGTCCTCTTGAATGGATGGAAGTCCCCAAACCTGTCGTGTGCCCTTCACATGGGGCCGGCGACTTGAACAAAGGATCCTTAGAGAAAGCGACTATTTCGAAGGGTTGGCCTGAAGGAGAATCTTCAGGATTTCACCTTATCCCATTTGGTGGTTGGGTTTGGTGGTTTGCACGTGAGGGGGTGCCTTCCCCATTTGGTTTCGAAAGGAGCTAGGGTTCAAATCCTGACTCATCTCCGCAAAGAACAAAAAGGCGCCACGCTGACGGACCAGGGGATCAGTGTGAAAACCGGCGTCGCGCTCCTGTAACACGCCCCTTTGAACCACTCGTCTATAGTGACTAATCAGTCGGCATACCAAACCACTTACAGATCTGGAGAAACTCCCAGGAAGAGGGTAATTGAGTCACAATGCCCATGCGCCAACTAATTGTTACTCACTCTACTTGAATGATGACAACTTAGACCAAAAACACATACCCTCAATAAAGGGGTGAAATCGAGGGCAACAAGCTGCTAGCTACGTCCTTCATGGCCCTTGAGTCACCAATAACCACTACTCGGCTCCTCTTGCCATGGATCAGAATCAGCAAACATGTTCCCTTGACACATAATCATGGGCATCGATCATGTCATTGATCCTGAACCACAATATAATTACATTGGCGTGGAATACATTCGGGCAACACACAGTGCGTGAATGATGTACATGGCGAATCTGTGCAGCAAGTTTGTTCCTTGTCAATACGTGTTGCTTGATTTCTAATGTTTTGTCACAGTCCCAAATTGGTTTGTCTCAGAATGGGTACAATATACACACGTATATATATATATATATATATTAATATAATTTGTGTATGTATGACAAATTAAGTATATACCGTATATGTTAGGCCTGCCTCTCTACCAATCGATTCGAGGCTTTGCCTCGTCCAGCTCTCGTTGGCACTCCGTTTTGATGGAGTTGGCCGTGGCAGCAGCCTGTCGGGTGTCGCTCAAAGGAGGGGCTGGGTGTCTTTGCGGTGTTAGCTCAAAGGTCGTCTCAAAATTGGGGGGGGGGGTTAAGCGAAACCAAGGGGTGCATCGTCTTAAACTTGGGGGAAGGGGGAAGAGGGTGGCGGGCTAAAAAGGCTGGTGTCCTTTTGCTTTCCCTTTCTTTGAACCACCCACAACTGGTGTCAAACGATGTTTTTAAACTCACTGTCAGAGTGGATTGGCCAGACAAGTAACCAAACTTGCTGTTTACCACGAAAATGGTCCAAACCTCAAAGTGACTAACGTCCATGCTCTCACGAAGCGAGCAGTCATTCTGCTTGTTGCTTTCTGGATGAGTTAGAATTGACAGCTTCCTGGTTGCACCCAGATACCCGACGAAAATGAAGCGAAACGACAAGAAAGGTCAGCGAGTCATAGCTCATTTTCCGAACAAAAGTCATGGGAACCTAAATCCCAAACTCCCTCTTTTGTAGGACACGAGAAGGGAAAAACCAGCCCGTGTTTCTTGTAGTTGTCTTATCATTCGCCCATCTTGGAGATATGGAAAACCGCGCTCCGAGGCAGCAAACAAGCCAAGGGTGGTGGATTCTCCTGTTGGAGTCAAGGCAGGCCTTTTGCCGAACGCTTTGGGGACAGGTTGTTGGCTTTTGGCAAAAGCTTGGCTGGGGCTGTCTCTCTCAGTCCTTCTACGTTTGTTGGTGGACAAAATTTGGAAGCCGGAGCCACGCTCGCGGGGCTTGACCATGCCCATGTGTTCTTGCCCTTCTCTGAAGTTGCCGGAATGTTTACCTTTAAAGGTAGCTCCATAATGTTTTTTGTTGTTGACACTTGAACATTTCAAATCAGATAAGAGCGTCTACAAAACGCATTTGGACTTTGCAAGGGCTTGATCTTCGCCGCGTATCTTTGTGGAGGTAAAAGGCAAGGACCAAATTGGACCCAGGTTTGCCTGCATTTCGCGGGGTTGAGGGGCTCCGGGCCGCGAGACCAGTCGGTGAAACACCCAATGGCCCATGGGTTGAGGGCTCCCCCTGATTTACTAAAGAAGACGAGTACCGAAGGTTGAACAAAAACCGACCCCCCCAAAAAAATCGTGGCTCTCAATAGAAAACCCTGTGAAAAACTAGAGACCTCCATGTGCCGGTGGCTCCTCCCTCCATCGCATCCCATGCGCCCCGCGCCCCGTCAAATCCACCCCAGCCTCGCCAGCTTCACGCTCGTCCACCTCACAGGAGGCCTGCGCTTCCTGGCGAGAGGAAGTCGGGGTTGGTTTCTAAGGGAAAGAGACCACCGTGACCATTTTTGTTTAACCTTATTGGCTTGGCTTCACGGGAAAAAGGAAAGGAAACGGTTGCCATGGCCAGTTTTGGGGTATCCAAGTTCAACGTTTTTGGGTTGGCTTAGAGGGAGCAACTGCCAAAAACTGGGATACCCGAAACCTTGCCCTTGCTTATTTCCAGCTTACATGGTGTTGTTGGTAGGGGTGTTCAGGAAGTTTGTTTCTACCAGAAAAACTCACAAGTGATGCTTCTGTTGGTAGGGATTTGCAGGATGTGGATTGTTGTAGGGTTGTACAGGGAAACCTGGTGCTTTTGTGGTTTGCGTTTTTTGTAGGGTCTCACAGGAATTCCTGGTGTTTTGGGGGAAACCAATCTAAATTCCTGGAGAAAAAAAGGGGGTAGAGCATCGGTTCTTGAAGGCAACGATTGTAAAATTGCATGAGCCGCCTTTATGTCTTGCATGGAGTCCTCAGGTATCTCCACCCAGCTGATCCGAATCACGAAGGCGTGATGAACTATTTAAAATTGAATGAAGCCTAAGCCATACGGTCATATGGCCACGGGTCAAAAGCCCGTACCCCCAGTGAACATCCCACTCACCACTAAAATAGGCTCTAAAATGGGTGGTGAATTCACCTACCCCAGAATGGTACCATTGGTTTTGACAACCACAGCCATATCTTAAACCAAAGTGAGTCACACAGAATACGCCAAGCTTCCACAACGACCGCCTTGAAGCCAAGGCCATCTTTGGGGTGGGTTCCTAGGGTCCCGAACCAGCAGAAGGTCGACCACCTGTGGTGAGTTCAACGGAAAAACCAACAGTTGCTTCCTCCTTTTGGGCGATTCGGGCCAAAGGCATGCGCCATAGGTCCCGAAAGCGAGCCAACTGAACATATCCATCGCTGAAACCGGGAGACTATCCTTCAGCCCAGCCAAACTTGCGGCGCGTTTTGGGAATCCTTCCGTCTCAACATCTCAGGTCCGGACCATCCCCACGCCCTTTTGGGGTCTCTTGACTGCATAATACTGCATACTATATGGCGCCCTGCCCCAAACAAACAGCCTTCCTGCTTCCAGCCATCGTTGCTAGGAGTCTGTTGACCGCAACACGGCTTGCAGATCCGATTCGTCCTTGGCCACTGCTTCCTCTTTGTCCACCTGCAAACCGGAAAAAACGGCCTCCAGTTCAGCTGGGTCATTGAATCACTTGCTCAACACCCGGCACTAAAATGGTCCCAGAATGTGAAGAATTAAGAAGGCGGATATCCGCAACCATTTCTGGCTGGGACTGGCCCTTACCTTCATCTACCCGGGCTTTGATTGTTGCTGGTTCACAAGCGACACCAGGAGGCTCAGCACAGGTTCACGTGGGCGTGTCTGTGTAAACCCGATACCTGGAGACATGGATGTGCCTCAGGCATTGGGGCCCAAAATGGATTCCTGGTAAATGGATCGAGGCTCTCTCAAAACCTGCGGCCCCCCTGGTTTATATTTTTTAGCCACTCCCACATGGCAAGGGTGGGCAAAATCGAATGTGCTCACGAGGCCCTAACTTCTGTCAGCCAAACGGGAAACAGCAACAGGTCCAAGAGCCAAGCTCTTGAACCCATGCCATCTCATGCGACCCGATGCATCCGCGGTGTTGGGTAGACATTCGGTGCTCACCCAACACGCGGGTCGAACAAAGGTTGCCAGAAAGTTGTCACGCAAAAGGAGGGCCGCGCAAATGTTGTCAAGGGTCACCCAAAATAACACACATCAATTGGCTGGTACATGGAATCCTTCTGTTTGCTCATTTGCGATCAGTCCAACCAAAAAACAAGCCAGTCAATTGGGCCAAACACCCTGCAAAAAGTGATTTGCTTTTTGCTGGTTGAAAGGGAAAATGAAGGAACCCTAAAGCGGCGAAAAAATGAAAAGGTAAGCTATAAGTCAAGCAATCGACACCTGGTCCAAGCGCTCGAGCCGAACACGGCCTTTTCCCGCCAGCCGAGTGAGTCGCGAATGCAGCGGGTTCGGGTGAAATCCAGTGCTACGGTTGAGGCCTCGGACGCAGCAAGTTGCCAAACGGATCCAAAAACGAAGTGAAGGAAACCCGTTTGAGGGCAACAGATTAGATAAGTCTGGCAAAAACCACACAAGTTAATTTGCCGATAAGGACAAATTGAAGGACATATGGGCCAAACATGTGTTAAGTACGAAGGTCTTGCAAGTCCCTCAACACCAAACAGGTTCTACGTTTATATCTAGTTGACTCGCCAGAAACAGAACCAAATGGGTGCGCCCTTTTTGTGAGGGTACCTTTTGGAGTGTTTTCAAAGGGAAACAACAGGGAAAACCTCCAACATTTACCAAAACGAGTGAATGTTTGTATCGGTCGCAGGAAGTCACAGGCCAAAAGCAAGGTGCACTCCTGCGGAGCTTTTGACGGAGCCTGAACAACCCATGTTTGAGGAATCTGCAAATAGAGCACCCTTTTTGGGAAACGTATCAATACTAGCAGGCGAGCACGCCGCCTTCAAACTTCTGTTGGCCACCTTCTTTTCGGGTACTGCCAGTGCCTTCTGTTGAGCACGCTGGGCTCGAGATTGGGGAACGCTAACTATAGTTCCAACCTAAAAGTTGATCAACCATAACCTGAGAAACCAGCTTCTACCTTAGAAGTTCCAACCTAACCTAAAGTTAACTCTAAAAGTTAATCAACCTCACCTAAAAGTTCCAAAGCAAATCGGGTGGCATTCCAACCTCAAGGTGAGGATAAAGCCCTGAAAACCACAGCTTTTGAGCCCAAGAAACGATTCGTCTCCGATCCAGGCCCGATTCGTCTTTGCATGTGACAAGTGTGGCAGGAAACATGTCCAGGAACATGTTCCAGGTTATATACATATACGGTTTCTCCTTGAAACATCGAAAGGCTACCCTAGCGCCCTCAGCTGTCAAATATATTAGTTGACAGGAGAGACTAAAGAAACTTATATAACATGAATGACAGACATGATTGTCTGGTCAACCTCAACATGTAAATTCCAACACAGACCTCATACTGTGCGTTCTCCAGCGCGGCCGCAAACTTCGTTCTCGGCCGCGCCTCGGTTAGAGGGGTCGAAGGCATTCTGCAAAAAATCCGGCTCAGTTCGCACACGGTGCGCCAAAGTATGCACTGCGCTGACCTGAGGTGCCTTTCCAAAAAAGCTTCATGATGGTCTTGACAAACTGGATGTTTTTTGTCAACGCAACTTCCTCGTTCCGACTGGGCTAGAAACTGAAACCATAGCTGGCCTTTTGGAAAAATAGATGGCCCTGTAAATGGAATAAGGTCCATCTAAACCAGTGCCATCTATTTTGGACCAAAGCAAAATAGAAGAACACCTATGACTGAAACCTGGCTTCCCATGTTGAAAAAACGACTTTCACCCAGTGGGCCATCTCCATGACTGCACCACGAAACGTGGGTTCCCTTGATCAGAAACGATGTTCAACAACTCAGATGCCCAGTGGCCAGGGGAAAAAAGGGCATCCTTTTCGGGTTGGTTGACTCTAAAGGGGAACCCTGCCAAAAAAAAAGAAAAACAAAAAAGGCACCACTGGGTGGGCAGCTGCGCTCAGGAACCAAGGAGCGCCAAAAAGCAAACAGTTCCCAAAGGCGAGCTAAGTCTAACTGGAAGCACCGGGAATGCTACTGTTGCCCCTCAGGAATACACGCGCTATGCCTTGCGCGCGCTGAAAAGATCTCTCTGAAGGCCTGAAGGCCAGTCCCTGCTTGGTCTCTCTGTATCAAAACTTGCCACCAAATGGTTTCGTAAGGGTCCTCCCTATATGTGTTGGGTCAAACCCTCTACGATAAGGACCTACATGAGGGAGGCTCCAGCATGTCCTTCTTCTGCGCTACCTTGTAACCCACGCAAAAGCATGGCAACTTGTTGCTGGTCAGTGGGGAACACTTTCCCAACATGTTCTACTGTTTCGAGGACATAATTTGCTCCAAGATTCCAATCACAGTGCCCCTACATGCAACCAAGAGCCATCTTTTAGAGAATTTAAAGGAACATGTGTCGCTACCTGCCATAGCGTCTTGCATGGGATCCACCACATGGCAACACAGGACCACTTGCAAACCAAGCTTTTCTGGACCTGCAATCATTCGTTTGGGATGCACAGGGACTCCCAAAATGAGTGGTTCGCCAACTCCACAAAGATGCCCAAACAAATCCCAGAATTGCCCTCTCTTTGGCCACACCAAGTGCCCACGCAACTTGCCGAAGCAGCTGGATTCACAGCCGGATGTTTTCTTTCTTTCGACCCGCTATGACAGGGCTTGAACACAAAGGCAGGGGTATCTGGAAAATGAAGAAACTGCGAGAGTTTCACCCTGGAACAAAAAAACAACGACAAAGTGGTTATTTCCCAGGTCTCACCTTGGGGTTTCTGCAGATCTTTTGGACTTCGGAGACCATGGCAGCACGCCTCGAAATGGAGCTTTTGGATCCAGACTGTTTACTGGCTTGAATGTGAAGGACCACCAAAAGCCAAAGCGGCAAAACCAAAAACCTGACAAGTGCTAGGCCTGGCGATTTAAGATTTTGAGGCTTCCAAGGAGAAGAAAAGCCTTCTAAAGCAAACAGCTTTGAGAGGGCCCCCGATTTTCAGAACCAATGACTTGATCCATTTAGATCCCATACCTCCCTTTACAATTTTCGCGGACAAACGGGGAACTTGTTTTCTCCAACTGGGAATGAAACCGCCATGTCTTTTGCGGCGCCAAACCCATCCCCACTTTTGGCAAATAAGCGTACATGTTTGGACCATTTCAACTTCTTCCCCTCCCAAAAGAAAGTTAGAAAGGTAGAGCTTAAAGCAGCGGCTTGCTTTTGGCACTTGACATGGCCTTGGCAAGGATGAATCGCGCGCTTGTGGGTCAGTATTCATTTTTTTGCCGTTTTTTTTTGCCGCGCTGTCAGGGTGTCTCGGCGAACAAATGATTGTCTGAGGAAAGGAAAGGGCATGTTCCAGGCCTACAGGAAATTAGGGAACCGCACCCCCCTACCTTAGGGGGAAGGGGCCAAATGCATTGGAACCGCTGCTGGGACCCAGCTGCCTGACGGCACGTCCAGGTTGGCTCATTGGCTCAGCCCGGCTCATGGTGCTCAGCCCGTGCGGGTCCATACGTCGCCGTCCGACCAGGTGATGGTGAAAGGCTCCGAAGACACGTTCGCCTCGCCTGACGGAAATATCTTCACCCTCCAGGGCTTGCAAGTCCAAACAGCTCAACACATTCACTCGTCCCCCGGTCAAAGTTCAAAGAACCCCGTCTCATGGAACAAACATAACACGTATTGCCAGTAGCGAAATCGATTCCAACGTTAAAACTAACAAGGGTAAACACATCATATGGACTTCAGGAAATGGAAGAGATCCCTTGCTCAACCCTACCCTCTCCAGGTTCCAAGGGCAAAGGCCAAACTAAGCAAAGTGCCTTCTCACGTTCTTTGCGGATTCTTGCCTGAACAAACGGAAGTAAAAGAGCAATGGTTGCAAAGAATGCGAAACCAACAGAAACCGAACGGACTTGCTCCTTTGAGCCCCAACAGATCCGGATAGGTTCTCATAGGCAACCTGCGGTGTGACGCATCAGAAAAAAAATAATAACAGAGCAAGCATGGGTGTCTGAAGTAGACTCCCTTTTTTAATGTATTGAGGTTATTTCAATTGACAAGCAACATTCACCCAACATTCACCCTTGTTAGAATTATTGTCATCATTATCATGATTGTTGTTGTTAGTCTTGTTATCATTATCATGACTGTCGTTGTTTTTGCGATTCTTGTTATTATTGCGGTCACCCTTACTCATGAAGACTGTTTCAAAGGGCAAACCACAAAACCACCAATTCGGGGGGAGATCTCTGTGGGACAGGCTGGAGGATTCAGCGAGCGAAAAGGCCTGAAAAGCTGTAGGCCTTCTCCTTGTCCTTGATACTCATGACCTGAAGGCCGAATTGCTAATTGTACGAACCCATGTCAACCCTAATTGCCTTTTTAACAATAAACTAGCTTGTTGCCCTTGTTCAACCCATACTCGTAGGCTATATTCTACAGTGCATACCAGGGGTTTTGAATCTATAAACTACCTTCCCCGAGTCTTCCGATTGGTGTCTGTGC